GGTCTCCAACCCGCCAACATGACACCATCCCGAAAATCGAATCCATCACACCCTTCCCAAATGGCTTGACGTCAACCCGCCGCGGGCCTATCCGTACGCGCAACCTTCCCACGCATTCCGTCACTACCCAGACGTGACTTCCGAATACCTGCAGACGTCAGCTCCTCGTACTGATACTTTGCAGCCGCAGTTGCTCGACACCCCCCTGCCTGCTGCCTCAACAAACCTACCTCACTCCCGTCGTCACGAACCGGTGGAATAAGATTTACACTTTTGGGTCCGAGGTGTCTGCGAGAATGCGCCGGGTGGCTTTGGAAAGAGTTGGAGGCCACCGCCAGGGGACATCCTTGAACGTCGGTCAACGGCGATGAACCTGTCCTGTCTGGTCTCTGTTGTCAACTGGATGGCAGATGCACATGCAGCTCCCATACATCATCACGACACGCGGTGACAACTACAATGGGGTATTGATGGTGTTGCTGCTGAGATTGATACATATGGAGACCGCCTTATTCTCCTGTGTCTGGATGGCTACATTTCCTATGGACTTAGTGACTTTGATGAGAACGACGACGAGTGACGACGATCAGTGGCGAAGACTAGTGACGACGGCAAGGGGCTACGGCGAGGGACGGCGGCGAGAGACAATTACGAGAGATAACGACGAGGAACGATGATAACAGCAACGATAATAATAACGACAATAGCGACTACGGCAGCAACAACGACAGCCAGCACACAGGAGTATTCGCTCCAGCACAGCAAAAAAAAAATAGGGGGTCTATTCATAGATAATAAGCCATAGCATTGTGGTTGGAGGGCGTCCGAGGAAGCTATCAATCTCGAGGGATGGCCCGCGGGATCAGCATCTCACATGATATGGACCCTCTGGTTATGCTTATCGAGAGTCATCTCCGATACATGATGTCCCGGCTCAATGTCCGCATCCGAAAACACGGTGGATTCACGCAATGGCGTTGCAGCAGTCGCCTTCATCATCGTCGGCTTCGATGTGATGGCACTACTCTTATCAAACCCTGGTCCAGCCGCACAGCCAGCACCACTCCAGGCGGCATTGGCCGCAGCTTTCCAAACTTCCGACACATCGGCCATCATGTCCAAAGTCCAGAAGAGACGACAGTCGGCAGGCTCGTTGACAAACTGGGCTGGAACACCATCCTCCATGTTGTCGGCCAAGATTTGGTCCCGCACGTTCAGACGAGCTTCTGTGCTGCGTCGCATTGGTAGGTCCGTCAACCGTGACAACAACACCCTTTGCTCGGGAGAAACCTCTACCAAGTCAGACGTGAGAGCTTCCTGGGTCAGGTTGAAGATGTCGCTATACCGCAAAACCTGGGCGCCTTTCACACCGCCTACGGCTTGCATTGGCTTCTTCTCAGGTCTGCCACCAACTACGACGCTCTTGACGCCCACTCTTTTCATCTCTGATGCGAATAGGGAGCAAGTCGAGGCGCAGTACCCATCCGTCAGCAGAATAATATTCTCGGCTTTGAAGGGCTGGGTAAAGTTCCGACGGTTTCCGTACCCCGTTACCTCGATGCCGATGCCGAATGTTTCGTTCCCCGTTGTCAGGTTATTACTCAGATCCGAACGGACGACGGCTGTGTACGGGTCGCCAGCCCACATGTTGGGGGCGAATTTGGCGTCGAAGGAAGTGAAATGCTTCCCAGACACGTCGAGGTCGAAGCGGTAGTTCCACCAGCTTTGAGCCCAGCTCACAGCTTCCTCACTCGGCGACGTTGCGGGGTCGATCTTTCCGGTGGCTTCAGACACAATATTGGCCATCGCCATGAACTGCTCGTTTTCTCTCCACCGGCTGAAACCTCCTTGCTCAGTCTTCGGAAAGAATTGGCGAAACAGATCAATTCCTGACAAAACATATCCACCCGGGTTCATCTGCAAGTCGATAATGATACGGGACTTGCCATCAGACCGGCATGCCTGGAGAAACTCTTCAACGGCTTTCTGGAATGTCCTTGGACTGCTGGGGTCGAAGCCGGGAATGGACAGCACTGCCACATCTTCAAGGTCACCGGCGTCCATGTAGAAGCCTGAAACCTTTCCATCATTGGTGCTAACCACTGGAGATAGGGCTTCTTCGAGCTGGTCATTCTCCGTCGTTGAGGCTTGCGATGCTGCTGTACCAAGCGAAGATGAGTTGCCAGCGCAGAACTTTTGGTAAAACGACTCTCCATCCGTCACGCCTGCAAAGCTGGCTTTGACAACAGCAATGTTGGCGGCGGACTCCGTCTCGCCTGTTGCGAACTCTGCCGTCGTGTTCTCGCCAGGGTACAGGTACTTGTGCCAACCGCCAATCCTGAACAAGCCTGATGTGCTGCCGGCGTTGATCTTGGCTCTGGAAAAGAACATGGCGTTGTATGCGGCATCGAGGTCCTGGTTTCCGGCAACCGTTTTCACGATGTTCTGAACGTATTCCGACGAATTGACTCCGTTCAGCCGTGTCAGAATCCTAGCCTCGTCTCGCTTCGCGCCAACTTCTTCCCATTTTTTGATGACTGGAAGCGATGTCGGGTCCTTACTGTAAGACACCAGCCCGAACGGACGCACATACTCGAAGACGCCAGTTAAAGCATCAGGCATGAACTGGAAATGCCCGTCGCGAGCTTTCGCTGTCAAAACGAAGAGGTCTTCCTGGAACGCTAGCTCGCCGTCGTATTCGTCGGCCTCGAGTTTCGCGCGAACTTTCTCCAGGTGACTGACGATATCGAAAGAGCCAGGCTCATAGTCCGCAGGAGGGCTTTTGAGGAACGCCAGGTCCGACTGCCACTCGAGATATGGGCGGATGGAGTCAACTAGCTCGATGGCAGCATCCTTGTGCAGAGGCACCGACTTGAGGCAGTCGTGCGCGACTTTGGCGGGTACAGTCGGAGATGCGCCTATAAAGAGTTTTTGTCAGCCTCGAATTCAATATGGCAATGAGTTTTGCTAGCTAGGCAGTGTCAATTGGCTAGCCGTCGGCGTCCACCGTCGTCGTCTATCGTCGTCGTCTATGTCGTCGTCGTCGTCGTCTATGTCGTCGTCGTCGTCGTCCCCCGTTGCCGTCTATCGTACTCTATACTTCTACAAGGACGATGGTAGTAGAGACCGCGACTGAGGCGGCGACGAGGGTAACGATAATAGACGACGATAATAGACTATAGCCATAGACCATAACCATAGACGACGACAATATAGACCACGACGGCATAGACGAAGACGATTATGGACGAAGACGACTATGGACGAAGACGATAATAGACGATGACGGCTGACCAACGCCCGGCGAGAAAAACTCAGGGCGAGATGCACACGGGCTGCCTACCTCGGAATGCTGATGCCCAGCTCCTGCTCACCACTTCGCATGGCTCTGTTGGAGTCGGCGTATCCGCCGGGGGTGTGGTTAACGGCTTTGTGAGCGTTGTGAAAGACGCCGAGGTCGTCTGGTTGAGGGTGGTAGAACTAATTGGCGGGCCTGCAGTGGAAGTTGGAACGACCGTGGCCACCCTGGTTCCGATGCAAGAGCAGGCACTCGAAAGTCGAGTCGAGAAGGCGTCAGGCGAGTCACCAGAGCAGTGTGAAGCAAAAGAAGGGATATCGGTACTGGCCACCGACTGGGCAATGAAAGTCTTGCAAAATGATTGGGCTGAATCAAGGCGTCCAGGGGTCTGGGTCGCGACGAGAGCTCGAATGCAATTGTCAGCCGCGCAGTCTGCGGCAACAAGTGCTACCGCAGCCGGAAGCAGCACCAAAACCGAAGGAACCATCCTCGAGTACCGAGGCCCGCTTTAATTAAAGAGTGAATTGGGTAAGAGCGGGTGTTGTGTCGTCCCTGCCCCTGTCGCCCGTTCCTGTTGTCCGTCGCTGTCGTCCATATATACCCGTCGCGCCATGGCCTTGGTCTCCCTCACGACACCTGTCATGCGATATTGTGGGTGTTTGCTGTGTGGAACATGCGATCGGAGATATATTGGTTTGTCTTGGGCTAATCTCTCGGTAGCAAGCGAGCGTTATGGGTCCACCACCAAATATGGCGATCTCAATCCTCGAATACGAGACAGGACTGGCCATCTCCCGCCAGCATATCAGCCTCACCCGTCGCGGATTCCAATAACATCGTCGTCTGTTGCTGCTATCTACTGATTCGCTCTTGCGCAAACCATTTCATGACCGACAACAGGCCCTGAGAAGCCGTTTTCAAGGCAGCAGTTCCTGCGTCTTAATAGTTGCGGCCATCCCGATACCTGACTCGTTGCGGAGCCACGCATCTGCCGAGGTGGAGTGCTTGATTTCCATGATATTTTCCATCTCTTTCAACGTCATTCAAGGGATCGACGGAACCGGCGACTCACGATTGTTTGTGGGACCCTGTCCACTTCTGTTTCTTGGTTTCCTGTATGACATAGCAGAGTGCATGAACTCCAGCAATCCCTTGCATGTGGATTTACTGACAGGCAAAGAGCCAGTGCTCTCGCCAGCGTCTTATGTCCCCCACAACTTCTGACCGACGTCTGTTTTCACGTCTATTACTGCGTAGCCGTGACGGCGAGCTTTGCATCTTTCAAACATACTCATCACTACTAGGTAGTGATAGCTTGTATTGGTTATTGAACTCTTCGAATCCTGTCACCAATTCAAGATGCCCTCTCGACAACCGACGACCACCAGCGATGTCTTGATCTCACTGCTGATGGACACAATTCAAATTCTTTATGAGTCGTCTATAATGTCAGAGTGCTTTCTTTCATCAAATTTAGAATCGCTGGAAACAATACAATAGACACCATTCTAAATTTCAAAGGAACACTCGAACTCCCTTGTGCCCTTCATCGATGTCACCATGTCCATCAACAACAGCCGAATATCTACGGGCAAGACCCAGAAAGAAACTTCAACGTTGGAAATCAGACTACCATAATCTTCAAGCACCTGATGTTCATGAACTTTCATCTCAATTCCGCCTGTTATCCAACCGACGCAAAATGCAATGTCAGGACACCGAGCAATATTCCCCCGCCAGCACGGCGTCAAGTCTCAGAACGGTCAAATTCTACGACTCAGATTCTTACAACAGCGCCGCACCAAGCCCGAAGACAGTCAATGTCTACGACGAAGACTGGTACATACGGAACACCCGCGAGCACCCCGACCCCGAGGTCGTAGAGGCGAACATCGGCAACGCGAAGCGAGGCAAAGACGAGAGCGCACTGTACATCGCCCGCCAGAAGAATGGCCGTCCGCACGCCGTCATCGCCGGCGTGAACATGCCCAAACCTCCGCCCAAGGGGGCCCTCGCAGGTCGCTGGAATTACATCGAGTTCATCCCGGAATGGAACGACCCGTTGTGGGTAGATCCCAAGCTCGAGATCGACGAGGAGGACCCCCACAAGCGCCTTATTCGTCCGAAGGACTTGCTGCGTTACCTGCGTCCCGCGCAGCGCCCCGAGGACCAAATCCGGAAGCCCACGGCTATGGCGCTGCGATTTGGCATCTTCCCCATGCGCCAGGACGGCAGGTCTAGGATGACGCCGACGAGAAGCACATTTCGACAGTTTGCTATCAACGGCGCCGCCAACAAGGTCAGTGGCGAGGACGTTGCCAGAGAGGCTGAGGAGCTCGCCAAGCGCTGGGGCGATGACAGTGTCGAAGCGCTTTTGGCAAGATACGCAAGTTTGGATCCCAGCGGCAAGGGCAGGCTTTCGGAAGAGAGTGCCTTCGTCCTCAGTGCCATGACGAGCATGCAAGAGGACGAAGACTGGCAGAGGATACTCTTTTTGGGAGCTACTACCAATGAAGTAAGACCGTATTTGTCGAATGGCGATAGCAGCACTAACAAGATCATAGTTATTGGACCACGGGGTTTTATCGTTTGGCAACGACTCCCGGATCACGTTGAAGAATCCCGTGCATAGGTGCGAAGTCATAGCCCATGTTTGGAAGATGTGTGCAACTGATCCCTTCATAGACTTTTTTGTAGAGGTAGATGGGAATCGCCTCTTTGGCGCGGCGATAGCGAGAACACGCCCAGATTAGTTTATCAAGTTGGAAATCATAAGGGCGAGCTAGATCCTGGCGTAGGTCAATTGCTTCTTCTAGCTTGACAGGTCCTTGCTAACGAACACATGCGAACAGAGCGATGATTATGTGTGGGAGTGTCTTCAGCCCGCCTTGATTCTGGCGTCTCGGATGCTTTTCTACCTCGAAGGACACGATCCGTTTTGGAAAGCGCTTTGCGATGTCTGGAATAGAATGCCTGTTCCACAATCGCGCGACGGTCGGCCGCAAGACCAGAGAGACCGGTGGCCGATGTTTACTTTCTCCAGGAACCCTGATCCCCTGCCCCCCGGCGGCAAGCCCTTCATCCCGCCAGAGTACTACCAGCTCCTGGATCCTATCGAAACCACCGCGAATGTCCTCAACGACTGGCTGGTGTTGAACGTCACAAGCACATTCCACACTGAGAATGAAGCAGAAGGGCAACCCCTGAACGGCATCACGTTTGCCGAAGACGATGGGACGATTCGCACGTGTCTCGGCGCCGACGACATTTATCCGCTGCTTGTGCAGGGGTACACTACGGATGAAAGACTTGTGTTGTCCTTTCGTGTTGCGACTACCTTGGTTCATGAGGTGGCAGTAAGTCTCGCAGGAAGCCTCATTATGTTGCAGCTACTTAACACGTTACAGCACGCTGTCACCTACGCCCACAGGAACTGGATGCACTCGCCCGGGCCTTCCACCCTGCCGACTATATCTGGCCATTCTGCCGTGGAGAATTCAATCGCCTCCATAGGAAAACTTCTTTTTGCCCATCAAAGAACCCCGGAGCCGTTCTTCGAGCAAGAGCAGAGATGCGAAGTGGGCTTCTCATTGGAAAATCACGTAAGACGCCTCCCTTGCGATTCCTTCCACAGTTTTGTTAACAACCGCGAAGCTCTATGGAGGTACCGCATGGCCTCTGATTGGCCGGAGTTCACATGTTCGCCCCAAGCATCTGTACTCTACGTCCTGCGGCCTCACCTTGTATCGCTGGCCGCGGGCGTTGCACCAAGACCCTCCCGACGACGGCGAAACACGCAAAGACCCCAGCGATACGGTTCTCAAAACCCCGGTTCTTGTCTCGAATCAATACTCTACGTACATATCGGTAGCCCAGGTGCTGCGCTTCTTCACCGAAGAGTGGTGGACCACCGAGATCCCGCGCTTTGGATCTGCCGCGATGCGCCTCAACACAAACATGCCCACCAGGATCCTTCCGCCCCCTGACCGGACAATGCCAACCTTCGAGGATGAAGATCTCCTTCCGAAGCAGTGGGATCTGTGGAACGAATGGCCTGATGACCTGCTTAAGACAAATCCTTTGGTGTACGAGTTCCTGATGTCTCTGACCCAGGAACATCTGAACTTAGCCTGCGCAAAGGCCAAATGGCAGGTGGACTACCTCAGCTGGAAAGAGAGACAATGGGTGCTATTAAACACGGGCGCGCAGGCTAACATCATTGTTATCGAGGCTGTGATCGGGGCGACGTACCGACGGAATCTCGTGAACATGGGGCATCAACAACTCCAGGAATGGAAGGACGACGCGCTGCTGGGATACCAAAACATGCTGGCCCGGTTCACAAATCGCATGCAAGGTCGAAAGCTGAAATTACCGGCGCCGTCGCTGAGTCTCCTCAACGCAGACACATTCTGGGACAACATCGGCACCGTGGCGCAGGGGGCCGGCCGGAGGCTCGCGGAGCTTTTACGGACGTATTACGGAGAGCTTCAGTACGAACTGCATACCATCACGGGTTTGTACCTGGACATCTTCAACCTCGGCGACGAGGACCGGATCAGGTTCACCGTACAGCCGGTGATACGGACTCTGAAAGCTCGGACCCAAACACTGGCGGGCCTCCACGAGGAGATCATCACTCTGATCAACCAGCCGCAAGCCACGCGAATGTATCCGGGTATCGCGGAGGAGTTCAGGCCCATGTTCGAACGTGGTTTCGAGACGACTAAGGACTTGTTCGGATGGTCTGGGGAGATCACGCGGATCAAACCGGAGAACTGGGCCCTTCTGCTCCCGCTCATTCCCAACATCCATACTGCGCACCGTCCGTCTTCGGCGAGGCTGTTCACCTTTGCGCGGAGGGAGATTGAGCTGTTGCCGGCGAAGGATTTTGAGGCGGTGCAGAACTACGTGTGCACGATTCAGAATGCGACCAGTCACACGAAGCAGGCAATCAACACCATCAATGCGGATAGTCTGAAGCGGGACGTCGATTACATGCTGCGCGGGGCGGTGAGCAGGATCAAAGATATCTTTGGTGGTGTCCTGCACGAGGCCTCGGATGAGGCGCTGGACTCCAAGGTGCCTGACGCGGGCCAGAGGCCGAGCAAGAGGGTGAAGTATAACCCGCCCAGTCTTGAAAAACCGATGCTGGTCAAGGCTTCGACAGCTGCAGCTGCCAGGAAGTCTGGTTTCACGATACACGACTCAAAGAAGGCGCAGTTCGGGAGGAGACGCGCAAGTGTGATGCCGCAGAATCATCCCAGCACAATCTCCAACAACCACCAAGCGCCAGAAAAGCCAGCAGTCTCCGGCGTCTCGACCATCGACTCCCGTACTCCCAGGCTGCCCACCATCGACATGTTTGCCTTCAACGCCGCAGGCTTCGCTCCCATGGCCGGCGTCGAGCACACCGGCTCCAGCAAACTCGCGCCATCGAACCCCGCGCCGGTCAACTTGTTCGCGGCGCCGTACGCGCTGACGGGCACGCTCACCGGGGACTTGGTGCGCGAGGCGGAGATGATGGAGGGGCGCAGGCATGTGCTGTTCACGAGTAAGCACGAGGGAGGATATCGCGATCCGCAGGGTAATGGGCTGGAGTCACCGGAAACGCCCAAGTTTGTGAGCAGGTTCCCCAATCCGGATGATGGGACGCCCTAAGGGAGGGGATTGGTGGTGATCTTCCAGGTTTGGGGCTGTTGGAGTTATGACTTGATTTCGCTCAATGTGATTTTCATTTTCTCACGGCTTTTGTTCTTAGAAGACTTGTTTTCTCACGATTCAGTGAGCAGAACCTGTGTCGGTCCACACGAGTCTTGGTGGCTTGACCATTTCCGTCTAGAAACGATGACCTTCCCATTTACAGATGCACATAATTAGCCACCAGAAAAAGAGTACATGAGCCCAAACACAGACTCCAAACTTGGCAGACGATTTTCTGAATGACAAAGGCTGACTTCTAATCGTTGAAGCCGTTTGACTGTGGTCAATCATGATCTCTGCATGCAAGCCCAACTCTAAAACATGAAATCTCCAGACTTCATATCGTCATTGAAGACCCAATCCTCCATCCCTTGCCACAACTCCATAGGCTCTGGCAGCTGCCCCAGTAAGTCATCAATAGTCTCCGCGCCAGCGACATCCATCCCTACTTCTTCCGCCATACGTTCCAGAATTGGCAGACACTTCTCCTCCACACCCTTCACAGCCTTGATCAACTCACCAGCAACCTCATCCTTCTTCATCAATCCCATCATGCTCCTTATCTGTGCTGCCACCAGATTCATAAGCAAGTATCCCTTCACATTTGTCTCCCCAGCCTTGATGACCCGCAAACACCACGTGCGCGCCTCTTCCATCACAGACATAAGGTCCGGCCGCAGAGGCGTGGGACCGAGAAGGCTGTACTCTTCCTCTTCCTGAAGCTGGGAGCGCAACTCGAGGGCGATCAAGAGCGCGGCGTGGAAAGTGGCAGTCTGATAAAATCCGGAGCTGCACGACGCCAAGCGAGGTAGGTCTGACTCGGTCTCGCCAACGCTCGCGTTTAATTGGAGACCATTGGAGGCGAGAGCCGGAGGCGGGCACGCAGCACGCCAGATACGGAGTGAAGACTCGACCACGGCCTTTTGTGAGTATGTGTATGCCGTACCGTGTGCGGGACCGAAGTATGGCGCGTGCAGGGATATGAGGTAACGCTGCATGTGGAAGTCGACAAGCTGGACCTCAGACTTGGCATTTTGAGCTTGTGAAGAGGAGCTGCTGAAGGCTGTGCGCAAGATTCGACTCATTCCCTTGAACGCTTCTCGCAGTTCAGTGTCGATACGTAGGGTATCCTCATACGTTCCTGGTGACACACGGAGACCGTTAAGAAAGTTCACTACTGCGAGACGTTGCGGGAAGGTCTGGCGCAGGGCGATCGCAACCGAAACCTGCGTAAATGCACTTAGCGGCCTAGGAGTTGGCCCATCGGCTTCTAGCTGATCTTCCTCAAAGTTACCAGGGGGCGCGGTGTCAAAATCGGACATGGATATGAGCGGCGCTCCGCCGGAGCTTAGACTAGCTTGGAGGTCCACCTCCAGCACAGTGTTCCAGAGACGCCGCCGCATCTCGGACTCGTAAACGGAACGACCAGGCAGGTGGTTGGGGTCGCGATGCAATCCCATGTGCATCGCCTTGCGCAGTATGGTGCCAGAGAGAACCCATGTCGAGTCACCCGCAACACCAACACGTTCCTGGGCGAAAAGGAGGAGGAGGTTGGTTTGTAAGAATTGGATGTTCAAGCGAACCTTGAAATCAGGCTCGGCCAACCAGACTTGGGCCTCATATACCCACAGAATCGCCGACGTTCGAAGTGAAAATTCGTCATCGTATGTGACGGCGCCAATGGCAAGGACCAGTTTCAACTGTACGAGAAAGCCGGGGTCGGGGACTGTGTCATTGACCCAGAGCGCTTCATACTGCCGCCGGAAGGTAGGCAGATGAAGAATGCGGTAAATGGACTCAATTGTGCGGAGATAATTGTCCAGCAGAGTGTCGGCAACGTCTTTGCTGGGGAGTTTCGAGTTGGGCGGCGGCGGCCACGCTGGTGTTCGTCGGGCTTTGATGTATCGAGCCAAGGACTTGCATCTTCCTATACCAGTCCAATTCGTATCCGGTGTACCTTCATACTGTCCGAGAGTGCTGAAGATGTCACGAATCTACGTCAACGGTCAGTATATGCTATGGGTGACTGACACGTAGCCGCGTGAGATTTGGTGAGGTCTTGCCAAATGTGCAGTGCTGACTGCCCAGTGACTTTGTCCAAGCAAGCGCGTCTTGAAACTAAGGCCATTCGCTATCAGGGGTTGATCTTGGCCCAGGAAGGTGTCTCTGGTCGAATGAATGTGGAATGTGCCTCCAAGTTGTGAGCTGATGATCTCCACATCCGCATCCATCGCGGACGCGCGGACTGTAGTAGGTGCCGGAGACGATGATACAGCTGGGGACGATAAAAGGACTGGAGAACGACGCGGAATGGACTGAGATTGGTTTGATAGTTGACTCTCCAGCTGCTGCACTCTGAGTTGCAGCCTGAGCGCTTCCGTGCCATGACAGGATCGGCCACTGGCACTGGCTGGTTTCGGCGGCTGTGTCCAGCTATTGTCGGCTAATGAGCCTGACATTGACGGAAAGCCGGTCGATTTCTGCGTGGATATACCGCTGCTCGGCGGTGTCAAATACTGAAATTGCGGCTGCGCCGCTTGATCTGATGCATGCTGCGTCTGGTCGCTCGAAGACACTGAGGGTGGTACCTGAGACTGGTTGGGGGCGTCATTCTCGTACGCACATCTGCTGGCCCCAGTCTTGGATCGCAGACAATTGGAACACGGCCTAGCACGATTGCATCGGATCTTGCGCTTATGGCAGAGGGTACATGATGTAGCCGGCCGACGGCTTCGGCGCCGTGCCTGACCGTCAGGCGTGGGACCTTGCATGGCTGAGTAGTCTCGTTGCACTGCAGCGGGATTTGTTAGTCAATAGCAAGACTGGGGAAAATAACGATCCTTGGCGTGAAGTCTGCAGTTGCCTCAAAGTTGACTCACGTTACCTGTGCTGTGTTTAAATTACTTAGGTGGCCGCGAGTTCGTAAATGAGTCCTTCAACTGTTGATGAAATAGAAACCAGAATAATCTGAAGATGAATTTGGTACTAAAAACATTCGAAGCAGTCTTTCGAGTTTGTTAGTGATACCCTTATGAGACGAAAACTTCTCGAATGGATGGATCTGACAGACGCGAGGACAGTGGACCTAGAAAGCCGACCGATGTCGACGTTGTGAGGCAACATTGAGGGAGAATTTCGAATTGGCCAGCGGTGGACACGGGAATATGTTGGACTGACCCCATTTCCGAAGGAACTTCACCAATCAGGCAAATTACCGTGAACCACTCATCTTCGCCGCAGGGCGACATCTTCGGCTTAGCCGACTTTTGAACGAATTTCCCGACTCCGATCCCGAGTCCGGACGCCGAGTCCGAGTCCCTCCACGGGGTGTTTACAAGACGGGGCCGCCGTCTGCAGTTTTATATATTGAGTCTTCCTTCGTGCCCCTAAGTCTGAGTGAAAAGCCATTGCATCGGTATCACGAATCAAATGACAAACGATAAAACTCCGAGATCAATAACAACAAAAACACCACGGCAACGGCTACAAAGTTACGAAGCAGGAAATCGGCTCTCTTCCATCTTACGCTTTGCAAAATCCGATAATGTCGCCCGAAAAGACTTCAACAGCGGGCTCGCCCAGCGAGCTCGACGGCCACGCAGCTCCACACTCTTCGAACGGCGAGCACGACAGTGCTCACTCCACCAACTCTCTCAATCACGACAATGAGAAGGCCACAAATTACCCAAACGCAGCTCCTGATGGTGGTTTTCGCGCCTGGATGGTTGCTGCTGGCTCTGCGACAATCTTTTTCTGCACTCTTGGTCTTTCCAACTCATTCGGTATCTTCCAAGAATACTACATGACGCATCAGTTGCAGGGCCAGTCCGCTTCCAACATCTCTTGGATTGGTTCCACGCAGTCTTTCCTCCAGTTCTTCACCGGCATGCTCGCTGGGCCCTTGTTCGATCGTCATGGCGCTTTAGTAAGGATACTTCCCTCCCCTCACATGCTGCGGAAACCTCAATCTGAATTGATACTAACACCATCTGCCAGATCATGTACCCCGCCGCCGTCCTCTATGTCTTCGCTCTTATGATGCTTTCCCTCTGTTCCAAGTACTGGCATTTCATGCTGGTCCAAGGAATTCTCATGGGACTAGTCCAAGGCTTCCTCCAAATCCCCGCCTTCGCCGCTGTCGCCCAGTATTTCGATAAGAAGCGAGCCGCTGCGCTTGGTCTTGCGGTTGCTGGCTCGTCTGTCGGCGGCGTCATCATGCCCATCATCTTGTCAAAGTTGTTCAACAACTCGCCCATCAGCTTCGGCTGGTCTGTGCGCATCGTCGGCTTCATTGCCCTCTTCTTCATGACCTTTGCCGTCATCTCCGTCAAGCCTCGTGTGCCGCCCCGAAAGACCAAGCTCTTCCTACTCGACCCCTGGAAGCAGACCCGTTTCCTCATGTTCACCGTCGCGCTTTTCATCATCTTCGTGGGCATGTTCACCCCCAACTTCTACCTCCCTACCTACGCCGTCTCAAAGGGTATGGGCGCCGCACTCGCCGGTTATCTCATCGCCATCATTAATGCTACCTCGACTTTCGGCCGTATTGTTCCGGGTATCTTGGCAGACAAATATGGCAACCTGAACACATTCTCCATTGGCTCTATCGCCACCGGTGTCATTGTTTTCTGCTTGACATCTGCCACTGATAATGCCGGCATCATCGTGTACGCCGTTTTCTTCGGCCTAGGCTCGGGAACTATCATGTCTGGCGCCGCTGCATCGCTGTCCCGGTGTGCTCCTGATCCTAGCGAGGTGGGAACGTACATGGGTATGGGTATGGCTGTGGCGGGTGTCGGTGCCCTGATCGGACCTCCTATCAACGGTGCAATCGTCGGAGCTACGGGTAACTTCTTTGCGGTCTCTATGTTCAGCGGTGCGATCACCGTTGCTGGCGGTCTTTTCGCCTTCACCATCAAGACTACCGACAAGGCTGGTCTCTGGGGCAAGGCCTAATTTAAACATCTCGGAGGTGTAAGCATTGGTAAAGAGTCAGCGGGAGAAATGAAGCATCAACATTGGCGGGAAAGCAAACGCACAAAGGAAATAATACCGTAAAACGACGGAGACTATAATGTTGAAACTTTGCAAACGCCTGGGCCTCATGCGTGGCGCATATATTGTATTAAAGAACACGGAGGAGCATCCACTCCAGCAGAAACCCCATTTCATAGATCAAGATTCCCATTTTCACCAACTTTGTCTCTTCAAATCATGCGAAAACGGCGATGTTAGTTTTGTTGGTCATTCAAAGATCAACTGATTTGGAACTTGGCGGGATAACACCGACGGTCGTGCAAGTCCAACCAAATCACAGCACCCACCCTTGAGAGCTGCCTCCATTCCCTTGCGTGAGCGGAAGCCGCCTGTAAGGAGAAGAGGCACGGTAGAGAGGGCCTTGCGAATGGCAGTCGAAAAGTCGAGGTAGAATGCCTATCAAACAGTTATTCATGCGCACTGGTTCATTTGATGAATAGGAAGCTCAAAGTATTGAGTTATTTACATGACGAGGCATTCATGGAATGCCGGGTTTGGAAACATCGAGCATGACGAAGAGCTTTCCACGTATTCCAATGTTTTATTCACCTATGTCGTATAGAATGCTCTATATAAGACTTGGGAAGCTAGGAAATCGAGCTTCAGGCCTGTTGCACGGCTACCACAATGGCAGGGGGTTGATAGCGTCTGCCGGCTTTGGCATGCTGACTCCCCAATGCTCAACAATGCAAGTGCCGTTCATCCTCCATAGATCCACCCACCCAAGTGAATCACTGCCGACCTGCTCGACGCGCTGGAAAATCCATGCACGGTTGTTGTCGATTCCCTTATTGATGACAGTGAAGTTCACAGAGTCGGGATCAAAGTTGGCGAGGTAGTCGAGGACGTTCTGCCTGCCGGAAAGCAGGAAGGGATCGTGCTGAATGTAGCCCTCGTCGTAATGTCTCGGGACACCCTCGGTGTATCGTTGGTCGACGATGATGGTCTGAACTGCCTGCTCGAAGATGGCTCTCTGCTCTTCGGTCGTTGCCGGCCGAGGAGGGCAGTACGATGCCGGCTGTGTTTGCTCCGCCGGTAGTGCAGTGATTGTCGATGCGAAATAGGCAATTGTGGCGTGAATTGGTCTCATGGTGTCTGATGTGAATATTGGGACGGTTTAATTAGTTTTTAAGGAGCAAGATTTAAATGAGTGTGACGGAATTTGTCTCCAGGCAGACAGACATCTCCTATTAAATACATGTCAACGATGTCCTGCCAGCTTCCGGAGTCCGTCCTCATCTTTCGTTGGAAAGAGTCCTTGGAAGTTCGGAGCCATCCACCATCGAGGCGCAACGTAACTTCATTGAAGGGCCCCAGTGAGAAATATGAATCCGCCTTTACAAATACCGCCTCCATGTCAATGAAGCATTCCGTAAGCAATTCATCTCTAGATCTCTGGGTTTAAATGACAAGATGGCACGTGCGTAGCGCGCGGTTGAAGCTTCTTCGAACCGCTTGCGGAGCCAAATGACCATGAGGTTGCGCGAGCGAATGATGTTGCTGGAACGCTCCGAATCCCGCGGTAGTCCGACTTGGCCATCTAGCTGGTTCCACTTCAAAGTCGGAATCAAAAACACGACTTGACTAAGAGGATATCTATCATGATATGAAATACTATGTCAGGATAATTGATAAATACCTTAGGAAACCCGCGCTGGAGTTGAAAGTTGGCGGCGAATCAACTCCCTCACCGTTTTACTCATTCAAACTTGAAGTTTTGGACCGCAGTCACTATGAAGATCAGCATCACCACCTTCGCCACGGCTTTCGCGGCTCTTACGGCCTCTGCGCAAGCGGCCTACTGCCCTCCTAGACCTGCGAGTCCAAGCGAGCAGCGACTTATTTTCGCCGAGTTTTACCAAAAGCTCTATACAGACATGAACGCCACCCAAGCCCTCATCGACCACATGGCAGACGACTACATCCAGCACAACCCGTATGCACTCTCGGGTCTCAACAATTCGATCGAAGCATTGTCATTTGTCACACCGGAGACGGTGAAGTTCAACATCACATTCAGTGGCATTGATGGGGACTTGGCTTTTGTATACTTGAGAATGGACATTGCTGGGGAGCCACGTCCCAGAGCAGTCGTTGATCTTTTCCGGTTTAACGGGTCGTGCATTCAAGAGCATTGGGACGTTATGCAGGAGAGACCGGACAACGCCACAAACCCTCTGGATATGTGGTAGACAGCTCCTAATATGGGCTTGGAATTCAACCCCATATGTATACGCACCATTGTGTGCACCATAATAGTATCTGAGCAGTCTTCAATTATCAACAGTTGTGGGTCTGAATTCTAACATTCGCGCTATATGCCTAGATATTGTGACAAAACTTTCATAGCTCGTCTTTGACATGTTTTCCTTCTCCGTTCGCCACCACTGCAATGTTTTCGCATAAATATCCAGTTTTCACAGACAGCGGTTTGTTAGGATAGACGCAAATGGGCGGTTCAGACTTCGTCTCGACCTTCTCTGTTCCAAGAGCGACTGCAGGCAGGCTTTCGGGGGCGGTCCCATCCTCAACCCATGATCTCAGAGTATCAAGTGCCTTCAGTGGGTACGGAACTCCAGCAGGTGCTAGACAATGCGTGGCTCCAGGGACCTCGAAATAGCGGTAATAGTCTTGAGTTGAGACATTACGAGAGCTGTCGAGAGCCAGAACACGATCGTAGTATTGCCGCATAGCCTTGACAGGGACAGCCTCATCATTCACAGAATGCCAGCTGATCATCTTCTTGCCCAGTTGACGGAAACGCTGAAGGTCGGGATTGTTGCTGCTGAACATACCGTCCCATTCGTTGACGCTGTCCCGGAAGATTTGGATGTACTCGGCATGCGTCATCTTCGTCGGGTCAAATGATGGGTCTTTCTTCACCATGAGTCGGATCCAGTCGTCGGCAATTGTGAAAGGTCGTCCACCAGAGCAAGTTTCTCCTTCGCAATGAGTGTTGGCGATCGACATCATTCCGGTAACTGCGGTGCCAACTGTGACGCCCGGGAAGAGCTGGTTTCCCTCGAGATCAATTGGGCCTTCAAGCAATGCATTGTAGACCTCTACAGCCGTGCTTGAAATGGTCGTCGACTTTCCCTGGCAGTCGATGGTAGTTCCGATCAAGGATGCGACATCAAAATCGCACGATTCAGCATCTGCAGTTTTACCGCAGGAATCGGCCAATCCAGCAACAATGGCCTCAAACTCGCATGCCTTAGGGTAGATGCCCTTCCGGTTCATGATGAGTTGCGGCCAATACATCGCCACCAAAAGCGATGAGAAGTTGACCGCTGGGCAACTTGTTAGAAGACCATCGAAGTCTTCCGGATATCTCTGAGCAATCGTGAGACCCTGCCTTCCACCGGTTGAGCAACCCTGCCAGTAAGAGAACTCAGGGAGTGACCCGTAGGCTTCACGAATGATGTGCTTGGATATGACGGTCATGTCGTGAAGAGCCCGGTGCCCAAAGTTGACAACCAAGGGATACTCCAAGTTTCCTGGGTTCTTCATGAGCCAGGTATCAGCAGTTGCGAACATGTTTTGGTTGTAGCCAGCGTTCGTGGTTGCGACTGCATATCCCTGTGATGCAAGAGCAGATCTGATGTCGGCACCCATCTCCCCAGCGGACCAACCGCCTCCACCAACACCAACGTAGCGTCCATTGTAGTTGGACGTTGGCAGCCAAAGCTGAACAGTGACATCGTCGTTGTGACCGGGATGCGTGTATGATATCGTCACATTACAAGCCTGCACGCCATCCTCAGCGACCAGAGCAGCCTCCGGTAAAAATCCGGCCTGAGGTTTGAAGCCACTCAGGGTCGAGGTAGTGATCGACAACAGTTGAGCACCATGAAGGTTGGGGAAGGAGAAATTCTCCTTGGAGCAGGATGTTGCCTTGCTGGCGGCAGTCTGCGCAAACAGAAAGGATACACCAATCTGAAAGTAGTTAACGCCGCGGCGTTTTGGCGCGGTGTGATGGAATTGCATGTCGATCGTCTTTTCGTGCAGGATGAGAGACACTTATAGACTCAATAGGAAGAATTCTGAAGGCAATGCTGTAAACGAGAGTTTGGTTATGAAAAGTAACGAAAGCAAATTGATGCCATTGAGTTTCATTCAATAATCATTCAGTTGGGCATCCCGTCATTAGCCGAGGTCAAATCAAATAACTCAATAAACGCGTCAACGGCGGTTTCCAGAGCCCCACGTTGCAAGAGCCCCTTGAACGTCGCTGTCCGCCAGGATTCCGACTTGAGCGGACTCCGCGAAAAGTTGAAAGTCCGCGGGTGGGATCGCCATGGCCAATGCGCAGTCGGTAGCAGGTATAAACGACCGCCTTCCGCGCGATCCACGGCACGCGTACCAGGGAAGAAAGACGAACTATGCGTTGTATTGGCTGCCAACTTGCTGTTACACTATGGATCCAATTCTACTCGTAGAGCGCAATTGTACGACTTTTCGACCGTGCTTTACCCCGTTAAAGGCGCTGCAAAGTCATTTCGCGTCGAGCAAGGGGAACACCAATGTTCCACACGCGGACAACGACGGGTGCGATTTGGTTCGTATTCGCAGGAATACGGACCTCTACATCAACCCGTAGAAATAACTCTACACATCAATGGCAAGCGTCTATTGATCCGCAACGGCCCTAGCCTCGTCCTGTACTCTAAATCTAGCCGGTCGTAGACTTTGGGATTGGCCGCTGTATCAGTAGCGGGGTGTTGATCGACGCTTGAGCCGTCAAGTCTGGTGAACAGTCCTTGCGGCGAAAGCTAGTGTAGGGCAAGACGTTGAGTGTGGTATCGTCCGAAAGAAGGAACTTCAGTGTTTCAAAGAACATGGCTGTGGAATGTAAAGATAAATACAGGCTCATGCCCCAAATTCTCAAGTAGTGTCATCGCATAAATCTGCGGAGTCCCAACATCAAAGTGTTACACAACTCCTCACCATGAGAGTTAGCATCATCGGCGCGACGGGCGAGACCGGTCAGTCCATCATCGACGGCCTCCTGAAGTCGACCGAGCCCAAATATGTTGGTGTTTCTTGCGAAACCTTCACGATTTACGGAACTAACTCATGATCAGGACATCACGGCTCTCACTCGTCCAGCCTCACTGCAAAAGCCCGAGGTGCTGGACCTCCAGACGAAAGGCATCCACATCGTCGCCGCTGATCTTGAGGGTCCGGAAGATGTACTCACGGAGGTCCTCAAAGGGACAGATGTCATGATTTCTGCCATTAATGCTGGCAATCTGATGGCTCAGATTCCTCTGATTAATGCATCCAAAGCGGCGGGTGTCAAGCGATTTATTCCTTGCTTTTTCGCCACCATAGTCCCTCCCAAGGGCATCCTGAAGCTGAGAGACATCGTGAGTTGAGCATCTTGACTCAGCAACACTATAAATTAGTCTTGTGCTAACGTGAATGACAGAAAGAGGATGTTTTGAATCATGTCAAGAAGGTGCGCCTTCCATACAC